TTTTTTGTATTTTTTAGTAGAGACGGGGTTTCACTGTATTAGCCGGGATGGTCTCGATCTCCTGACCTCGTGATCCACCCATCTCGGCCTCCCAAAGTGCTGGGATTACAGGCTTGAACCACCGCACCCGGCCAAGATGACTGTATCTTATTCAAATATGTTTTATGGGATTTCCTTGACATTTAAGTATGAATTATCTGGAATACTGAAATTTTCCATGAACCCAAATTGAGTAAACTATAGATAATTTTTTACTAAAAGCTTTTCTGAGGCAGAGTAAGATTTATAACATTTTATTATAACATGGAAGAAGTGTATTAACCATGTTTTCAGTAATCACTCTGAACACAGCATTCTCAGTTCCCAGTATGCACCCTGAGTCACCCAGGAGAAATTGGTATCTGTAAAGAGGCAGAAGAAAATGCTGAGAAAACACTGCACAGCAATGCTTTCCACATGCACCTATTCGGGTCTTCATTTAATTAGACTGTTATTTGTATGGCTAGATACTTACTGAATTTAGTCACACTATCTTTTAGCAGCTAATGGCATGTGTTACCTATTATTTTATACATTCAGTTTTTTGAAAAACAAATCTTTTGTTAATTTACTCTAAGTTGAGTCTGCATTTACAATCTTCACTTTTTCAGTGTTAAAGCAAATCAGAGAAGAGCAATTTTTATCCCATTTCAAATGTTTTCTCTAATTATTACATTGGTCACATGAATCTAAAAGAAACTATCTACATAACCAATCATACATTCAAGAAATATTCATGTTAAAGTGTTTACAGTTTAATCTTGAATTACAGTATAGTAGAATCCTCTGCAGTTAGAAGTTAATTACTTATAAATTCATTGTTTTAATACGCATTGAGAACTTTCTTAAAAAGCTTTGTCACATTCTTTGTACTTGTAAGGTTTATGTTCCATATAAATTCTCATATTTAGTAAGAGTTGAGGGGTGGTCAAAGGCTTTCCCACATTCATCACATTCATAGGGTTTCTCTCCAGTATGAATTATCTTATGCTTATTAAGGTATGGGAAACATCTAAAAGCTTTGCCACATTCTTCACTGTGTAGATTTTCTGTCCAATATGGATTCTCTTATGTTTATTAAGGTCTGAGGACCGGTTAAAGGCTTTGCCACGTTCTTCACATTTGTAGGGTTTCTCTCCAATATGAGATTTCTTATGTTTACTAAGGCTTAAGGACCAGGTAAAGGTTTTACCACATTCTTCACACTTGTAGAGTTTCTCTCCAGTGTGAATTATCTTATGTCTACTAAGGTGTGAGGACCGGTTGAAGGCTTTGCCACATTCTTCACATTTGTAGGGTTTCTCTCCAGTATGAATTATTTTATGTCTACTAAGGTTTGAGGATGAAATAAAGGTTTTGCCACATTTATCACACTTGTATGGTTTTTCTCCAGAACGAATTTTCTTATGTGAAAAAAGGGTTGTGGAATGGTTAAAAGCTTTGCCACATTCTCTACATCTATAGGGTTGCTCTTCAGTATAAAGTATCTTATGTGTAGTAAGGTGTGAGGATAGGTGAAACCCGTTGCCACATTCTTCACATTTGTAGGGTTTGTCTCCAGTATGAATTTTCTTATGTGTAGTAAGGATTGAGGACCAGTTGAAGGCTTTGCCATTCTTCACATTTGTAGGGTTTCTTTCCTGTATGAATGATCTCATGTTTACTAAGGGTTGAGGATGCAATAAAAGATTTGCCACATTTATCACACTTGTATGGTTTCTCTCCAGTATAAATTCTCTTATATGCAGTAAGGGTAGAGCAGTACTTAAAGGCTTTGCCACATTCTTCACATTTGTTGGGTTTCTCGCTAGGATGAATTTTCTTATGTATAGTAAGGGTTGAGAACTGGTTAAAAGCTTTGCCACACTCTACGCATTTGAAAGGTTTTTTCCAGTATGTTTTATCTCTCATGTCTGTTTGAATTTGAAAATTGATGAAAGACTTTCCCATATTTATCATATTGAAATATTTTTCTTTGGGTAGTTGTTAAACATTGGTTAAGTCTATTATAACCTCTTTTGTGCACCTTACACTCATCCACAATTTCACAGACTTTTTTAAACTCTAAATTGCCATATTCACATTTTTCATATCTTCTCAGTATCACAATTTGGAAAGAATCTTGTAGGCTCTGCTTTGGACAATGATCTTGGGCAAAATGAAAACACATAAGTGAAAGAAACAACAAAAACACATTACTTCAACTGCAAGATTCTGATAAATATGGGATACATTTACAAACAAAATTAGCCAGGCATGGTGGTGGGCAAATGCCAGCCACTTGGGAAGCTGAGTCAGAGAATTGTTTGATCCCAGGATGCAGAGATTGCAGTGAGCTGAGATCACACCACTGCACCCCACCCTGGGTAACAGAGCAAGACTCCGTCTCATTAAAAAAAAGAAATAAAAGAAATTTCCAGCCAGGTGTGATGGCTTATGCCTTTAATCCCAGCACTTTGGGAGGCCAGGGCAGGTGGATCACCTGAGGTCAGGAGATTGAGACCAGCCTGACCAACATGGTGAAACCCCATCTCTACTAAAAATACAAAATATTAGCCAGACATGGAAACAAGTACCTGTAATCCTAGCTACTTGGGAGGTTTAGGCAGGAGAATTGCTTGAACTGTGGAAGTAGAGAATGTAGTGAGCCAAGATGATGCCACTGCACTCCAGCATAGGGAACAGAGTGACACTCTGTCTCACACACATACACACACATACACACACAAATATAAATTGCCAATTAAGAAAAAAGAAAAGATAAAAGAAAAACATTGGCACATACATCTTTATTTCTGGCTTCCACATGCTTTTTAGACACTGATTAACATCTCCCATGACATAAAAGGCTGAAAGAAGTGGTGATATATGTTGGAATGACAGTTTGAGTCCACTGAGTCTAAAGACAAATGTTACAGAAGCAGAGAAACTGCAGTACCCCAAACAGGGAATGGCTGCAGCAAGTGATTACTAATTATTAAAAAAAATTAATAAGCCAATTTAACTAAACAATAAACACAAAATTTAGACAAGACACAGCCTAAGAACATGTTTGAGAAATTCCCAGAATCTGCAGCCAAGACAATTGATTTCAGACTATGACAGGACAAAGCTATATCATAAAGATTGGAACAGGTAGCTTTCTGTCAATGTCCAAATCTCAATCAAAGATTATAATGTACACAAAATATTAGAGAAACATGGCCCCATGAAAAAAAAATTTCAAAAGCAACTATAAACAGCATATAAAGTAATTTTTAAAATTCCAAATAAATTGAACAGGCCAGGGTTAGTGGTCATTCCTGCAATCCCAACACACTGAGAGGCCAAGGTGGGAAAATCACATGAGGTCAGGAGTTTGAGACCAGCCTAGAGAACATGGTGAAACCCTGTATCTACTAAAAACACAAAAATTTACTGGGCATGGTGGCATGAGCCTGTAATCCCAGCTGCTTGGGAGGCTGACACACAAGAATTGCTTGAACCTGGGAGGGGATGGTTGCAGTGACTGGAGATTGTATCACTGCACTGCAGCCTGGGCAACAGAGCAAAACTGTCTCAAAAATAAAATAAAATAGGCTGGGCACAACGGCTCATGACTGTAATCCCAGCAATTTAGGAGCCCGAGGTGTGTAAATCATTTGAGGTCAGGAGTTCAAGGTCAGCCTAGCCAACATGGTGAAACCCTGTCTCAACTAAAAATACAAAAACTTAGCCAGTCATGGTGGCAAGCACCTGTAACCCCAGCTACTCAGGAGACTGAAGCAGGAG